TCATGGACTAGTTTGCATTACCAGAGGTTTACGATAAGGGCTCGAAATAACCTTGAGGGGAAGGTGCTAGGCACCCCTCGCGGTCCACAACGGTGGGTCCCGACCGAACTTAAACTATGTGAATTAGTCATTTTAACAAATAAACAGTTTTAACACATACTTGTAAGTAAAGGCATGTTTTGACATTCTAAGCACATGTATGATTCAAGTAATGAAATAAGGGAAAAGGCTTGAACAAGTTGCACATATATAAAGAAAAGTAAATTTATTTAAACAACGTGAGTTGGGAAAGAGGGGTCCTAGGTTGGTTAGCCTACAAGATCATACCCATACAATGCCCGGTAATCACTCCTTAATGAGGGGCTACACGTGACATTAGTGCGTAGTCATCATATCTTTACTACCCAATTCCCTCCCCTTGGTCATAGCCTAAAGCATTCTAGCAACCTTGAGAGATATCCTATGCGTGCACTACCCCCCCTTCCTTGTGGCCCTGGAGGTATTTAGGACCTCTAATTTAGGTAGTTCTACACCACCCTAAGGTATTTAAAGGAGAAAAGTCTAAGCGTCAATCAAAACAATTAGGACTACATTTAAAGAGGGAACAATTAAAGGCTCACATTTTTACCTCTGCAAACAGAACAACTAAGTGCACGTCTCAAAAAATAGTTTCAGGGATTTAGGAGAAAAACCTTAGAACATGATATTTAGGTGAGCAGAGAGTATACAATATTGAATTAGGACCAAAGTGTCAAAGAACTGAATCCTACTTGCCTACTAATTCTTTTAAACCTGTTGAATGTGAGCAGTCTCAAATAACAAGGCGCAGTTTTATAGTTTACAGGGTTTTATTCGCCCTACAGACTTGCCTAGACGCGTAATAGTGATATCCTAGGAGCATGATATCTATTATTGATCAAGAATGCAACGAAACAGCAAACAGTTTTTTTAACGGCAGTTTAGATCCTATAGGCATGTTCTCTAGTAATATTAATTAAGGCAGCGTTGAAAACTTACTAAAGGAGCGGACAAATTAATTAACTAAACTGATTCAGAATAAACATGAATTAAACTGATTTTCTAACCAAAATGGTTTTAAGTCTTATAGGCATGATTTCTAATCAAACATAATGTGAAACAAGTAGAATTCATTCGACCAAAGTGAAACCCCTATAGGCATGATTTCTATTAAAGCTGATTTTAACTCCTATAGGCATGGTACCTAATTATAAAGCTGATTTAGATCCTATAGGCATGGCTTCTAATTATGTGGAAGTAAAGCAAACAGAACTTATTTAAACCAAAGCAGATCCTATAGGCATGTTATCTAACAAACATATCAACATGGACCCTATAGGCATGGTATCTACCCAACTTTACCCACAGTATATAACTACCCTTCCTTTTTACTAGTCACCCCACTGTTTGTTTACAATAATTATTACAGACCAATAAATTGGATAAAAATACATAAATAGAACAAAAATTAATCTATAGGGAGCCTGAGGAGCCCAAATGATTTCCAAACCTCTAGTAGTCTCAAATGCCAAAGTTCCATAGCCAATTTCATGTCTAGGTGTGTTAGAGTTCCCTAAGGACCTCAAGGATCCCAGGCAGTGCTCACACCTATACCTTTCTCAAATAACAATTGATTATTGTGCAGTGTGGAAGTGCCAGCCCTGATACAGAGTTCAAATAGATCTCAAGGGTCTCTAAGCAGTACACATACCAGAGGGGCAGGACCTAGTATTCTAGGATAAGTGAAAGTGCATAACGGTTTGAAAAAGTTTAAAAGAAAGGTCTTAGGACTGAAAAGAACTTCTGAAAACCATTAGTGATCGTTTGAGGAAAGTGTAAAGAAACAATTTTGCAATCAGAACACAACTCATGAAACAAACAGTTTTAGGGAGTACTTTGGAAAGCAACCTTCACACAAGGGAAGAGGGATTGAGAACATAGAGAGTACACCTTAATGAAGCACACAAACAACATGATACATAGATTTTTGAGGGGCTTCTATAGAACTAGTAGGTAGAGTGCAGGTCATGCAGCAAAGATCACAACAGAAACATATTGAAGCCATTCTAGGGAGAGTAATTAACTTAGCAGGAGTGAGACAGAACATGCAAAGACTTAGATGGGCATGCTCGGCAAGTATCAATATGTGAAGGCATGCTAATTACACAAAGGCAGAGTCCATGCATGCTAGATAAACAGTAGTCAGTCAAACAAGCTTAGTTTCATATGTAGACATGTTAAACAAGATAGAAAACAAGTAAGTAAAGTGTAAACATGCTAATTACAAATTTGAATAGGCAGTATTAGGCATGGTGGGTAAGCAGTAAACAGGGGCAAGAATGGACTCAGGCTATATGGAATAAAGCAGTAAGTAAATACATAGGTTTTGATTCTTAAAATTAATCAGAAGCATACCTAGTTAAAGAATGAAAAAACACAATAAGTGAGAAAGGTATTGTGCAATTTTTAGCCTTGACTTGCAGCTGGCTAGAACAACAGAGATCACAAGTAGCAAGGAGAGCAGAGAGAGCCTTTTTAGAGTGTAAAAATGGTAGTTTTGAACTATTGTTCGTGTCCAAAAGTTAAAATAAGAGAGAGTTTATATAATAATCAAGAGTTAAACAAAATAAGGCAAGGGATCAATTATGTAGCAATTAGAAAAATTCACAAAATCAGTCACACACGTAAAATCAGTAAGTCTTCCCCTTAATCAAGGGATAATCAATCAACGGTAAAAGTATGACAGATATTTAAGGAAGGGAATCAAGTAAGGCTTGAGTATAGAGTAGGTAATTAGGGGTAAAAGAACATGAGTTCAATTAAGGAAATAATTGGCAAGAATTAACAAATAACAAATAAGGCAAGAGAAAACTAATTAAGGCAAGAAGTTTAATCAAACCGAGTAGAGCAGTAAGAATCAAAGGTTTTGTTAAATAAAAGAGTTTCAATCAAACCAAAATAAGAACTTCAGAATAGTCCAGGGTTTAACAGAAAATCACGTAAAGAGTCAGCAAATATGACAGACAATCCAAACAGGCAAGGAAAGAATAGTCATGGCTCAACACACATTGGTAAATCAAAATTCAAAACAACACTGATTTAAGTAGAAAAATATTGGTTTACCATGAATAGTCGGAATGAACATAGACATATAGAGTCAGTAGACAAGTTGAACCAAGAAACTCAGTAGAGGCATATTAGGATAAGAAAATCACAAGACATCTAATTGGCTAAAGAAAAATCACAGAACCAAAGCAAGGACAAAGTCAGTACACAAGTAGCTCAGAAACCAAACAAAAAATGCCGAAAAATTAGGGCTTTTAGTATAAACGAGTTAAGGTTAGAGCAAACGTAACGAAATCGGTTAAAACATATAGGAAACAGAAGATTAAACACTCAAAATTATCAAATGTTTTGGAAAAAAAGAAATTTCCGGAAACCCTAGTTTAGAGAAAATGAAAAATCGTGGGCCATAGATGCAAGCGGACTGACCCTGGTCCCTGGAGGACCTTAGAGATGGCAATGCCAACGTAAGAGAGGCCATTAGAGGCCAAATGGTGGTGGGAAAACACCATGAAAGGCAGCAGATGACGGGCAATATGGGTAAATTAGGGTTAGGGCTTGAAGGCTTTTGGAGAGGAAAGGGATTTTAGGGCGACGGTTGGTGAGAAAATGGCCGAGTTTTGGGGGGTCGTTTGGTTAAAAAAGGAAAGGGTTAATTGTGGCCGTTAATCTCTATGATCAACGACCGAGATTGAATGAGATTGGGGCCGGGTCGAGCATTAAGTTTTGGGCTTGGTAGGTTTAGGTTAAAAATTGGGCTGATTGGGTCAAATTTGAATAAAAATAGGGCCAAATTTTAAATAGCTAATTTTAATAACTAAATAATTTATAAAAATAAGAAATGAATACCAAAAAATATCTTTGTATACTAAAATGATTTCAAATAGTTATTTAATATTTTAAAATTATAAAAGACCAGTTTATGCATAAATAAAGTAATTAGATATTAGTATGAGCTATTATGGCAAAGATGTGCAATTTAGCCTAAAAAATGTAAATGTAATTACAAAAAATGCACTAAAAATATTTAAACACTATGTTGGCATAAATAATAAATTTAGATGACTAAATCATCGCAAAAGTAATTTGAAGGATAATTATTGGATATTTATATAATAAAAGAGAAGAAATACATTGATTTGGAGCTTTTAAAACTATGAAAAAATTATTAAAAAATAACTTATGCATGCTTATAACTGCATATGTACTATTTTGAAAGTATATATGCGTGTCTAAAATATGTGAGGAAAAATTGGATATCAACAGAGGGTATAAATGATCCTTTCGCATAGTAAAGGAATATTTGTGACCCAATTCCCTTTTAAGTATGAATTATACCGTCTTTGACTCTTTATTGGTATATGAACGTGAAATTGTTAACACGCATTGATTCAGAAACCTTACCAGGAACAAAAGTAGAGCAAATATACATCACAATTCTAAGGCAAGCATCTCGCAAGGTGTACATCATCTACTAGTCCGGAATCACACTTTAGTCCAGTTGGAAGTTGGCCTTCTTTCTCTAAATATTGCTTTCTTAATATGCGGAACTTCATATTAGCTCTAATAATTGCGTATGGGAATTTGGTTTTAAATATTGAGGCTATGTATTAATTAATAGGGATATTGTGGTAAAATACTCATGTCAATCATTGTTTCTTAAGGGGTATGCGTGAAAAGTTCAAAGTGATCAAGTAAAAGCGAACGGAGGAGGAAGTACTTAAAAAAGGAAATAAGTAATTTTAGTCTTTTATAATCAAAGGATGATTGTTTTTGAGCATAAAAAGTGCGCCCTCCAAGCTTCCTTCAGAAAATACACAATTTTCTCGGGCTGCACCGCCAAAAATGAAAGAAAGGAAATCTGAAAATACACAATTTTCTCGGGCTGCACCGCCAAAAATGAAAGAAAGGAAATCTGAAAGCGCTAAGAAAAAAGACATGTTGTGAAAGAAAGGAAATCTGAAAATACACAATTTTCTCGGGCTTCACCGCCAAAAATGAAAGAAAGGAAATCTGAAAGCGCTAAGAAAAAAGACACGGAGTGACCATGACTCACGTCACATAATCAATTTATAAGACAATACGCCACAAAATGTGCTAATTTCTATAGCAAATTTTCCCCAGCTTGACCAAATATTCAGAATAGACAAGTATGTACATTCAGTAAGTATAGTCAAGTACCACCATAAGGAATGATGCAACAGGAAGCAGGCCACTACAACACTCCAAAATAATCATCAGAATCGGATTCATAATAATCATCATCAAATTCATCATCATCATCAAATTCCTCATCATCTTCATCAGAATCTAAAATGTAATCCTCGTCCCAAAGCTTACAGGAGCAAGATGCTTTCTTGTCCTTCCATGGTGCCCCGCATGTATAACAAAATTCATAGCCACATCTGTACAAACAGGCAAAAATATTGTTAATATAGTTATATATATACAACACTACACAATTGTAATAAACAGAGACAGAAATTGAGTAGTCAAGTAGGTATCACGTGTGACCACAAGTGAGGAAGAGCGAAACATCTAAGAGAACAGATCACTAGTTCATCTTCGGTCTTCGGGCTCTATTACACAGAAAAATAAAAAATATAATAGTCACTACCTCTACCCCCTCAGACTTTTGGTTGTCCTTCTAGCACTGTAGCACATATTAAGATCTCATAGGAGTACTTTTTAATGGTAAAAATAAATTCATATGCAATAATCTATCGACCTCCTATACATGGCTCCCAATGCAGAGCAGGAATAAAAGATGTTTATTATCTGTGGGTACTAATATGATCAATTAAAGCAGAAAGTGCAGGTACTAACCCGTACATACAAGTGTTAGTTGGAAAGTGGTCACTACCATAAGTTGAAAAACAGACCAAGACATATTAGCCAGAATTGTTAAAGAAAAAAAGAACCGATATACTTATTCTGAGTTCATCCAATGTCATGACATTAATACGGAGAGTAGTCGTATGTATAAGAACCCAGGCTTACACAAGAGATGTCAATCTCCCATTATCCGCAAAGACCAGAGGTAGCACACTTTCATTACGTTGGAAACATGTACCTCTACACTGAACCCGGAGAGTAAACTTCCAGTAAAATATTGCACAAATATATTCACTAACGTACTTCCTTTTCCTGATTATAGTGGTGTACAACCACTTTTGCGCACCTCGACTAATTCCACTAGATACCTACTACCTCCCACCAATATAGGTATCGGGTAACTCCCACCAAGGCTTCAACGAATGAGAAGAAATTACCTAGTGTTTTATTGCCACCTCTTCGATTTGAACCTGAGAGCTTAAGGTTCTTTCAGGCTTCATTGACCACTAGGCGACACCCTTGGGTGCCTAAAATACTCTTTATTGATAAGTATAATCACTAAAATGCTTAAGAATATGTCCAGCGGATATTGAACCAGCTGGATAACCTAAGTCCTCCGCTCCACCAATATGGAGGGGATGGGGGATGAAATAGAAAGCAACAGTGTAATGCCAGAGCAGGACACCACAGTTGAAAGATCTATTAATATCACTGAAATAGGAATTGAACAAGTAATCAGAGTGCAAAAATAGCTAGCATGAATATCTTTTAAAAGATCAATAGCAGGCATAAGTATGTAGAACAAACTATTTTATCGCTGAGGCCTCGCATGCAACAAAGTCACGTTAAGAAAGAATGGATACTGCAATAGAGGTTACAAGTGAAAAGAAAGAGCAGTCAAAAAGTAACCAAAAAAAGATCAGCAGGGTTTGGTTCAACGCATGAATATGTAGAACAGACTATAATAGATGCCATATCGTTCGGTTCAATAGGCATGTCCAACAACATGCAACAAGTTGGGTTATTCTTGATCTTTTTTTCTTGAAGAGGGGGGGATGATGATGCAAGGCAGCGACAAACTTCCAGTTCAACAATAGAGTGGAGCATATAGTTTAATAGTGTTTACTTGATCCAGTCTAACTATCATGGAGATCATAAATAGCAAATGGTTATATTTGGGTTAAGCTGGTTTAGCAGTGGGTTCATATCCTAAAATCACATCAAACTGAAGAATAATTTAGATAGCATGAAACATATTGACAGGACATACTACTTGCATCAAGGAAAAAGGGATGTCATTTGACTAACGTGATTACACAATTTGAGAGTTTACTTATTTCATGTTTGGGTCAAACAAATGGAAATTGAACACCCATGTCTTTACCTGCAAGTCATGTGATAGCACCCTGCAGCAAGTTCAATCATGTGGTTGCACTTTATACATTGGCGCCACAAATTCACTGCTGCCAGATTTTTCAACTTAACATCTTCTGGAGGATTAGGATTTCTCCTTCTATACTCAGAGCACGTGATACCCGAGTGCCAAGGAACTTTGCAATCGATGCAAAACAGGCCATTGCATGTCGTACATTTCCTGATTCCACATCTTTCAGCTACTACAAAGGCCCCCTTAGAATATTCTAAAACTTCAGATTTTGACATTAATGCTGAGCACTTTGGGTAAGGGCAATAAACTTTTTCAGTCACAGGGATAGAAGCTTCCTTAATGCGTTGCTTCATCATATCAATTAACTTGGGGGTCAAAAATTTAATGCAGCTATCCAGTTTTAGATCAGAATTGCAGTCAGCATGAGGACACTTAGGCACCATACCATGAAGCAGCTTCACTTCAACATGTTGTTTCATACAGGAGACACAATAGCGGTGCCTACAACCATCAACTGAGAAAATCTTGCCAATATCTGTCTCTTCCAAACAAATAACACAAGTTTCGTACACATTTCCAGAAGCAGCTGACTCTGCTACTTTCTTAATTTGGGAAGCCATTGCCTCTCTTGCAAATTTAAATGCAAAAATAATTTCATTTCGAGACACAAATGAAGGCTGGCAAAACAAAAACTTTTGTCGAAGCAGAACCACTTGATTTAGTAAAGCAGCAACCTTCCGCTGTTTGGCTGACCATCGGCCTGTAATCTACAGTTCCCAAAACACATGATTTCAGCAAATTAAGCACTGTAGAAAGCTTGAGTGATATTCAGCAGTTCAAGATATGACTGCAAAACCAAACAGTAAGGTAGTAGATCTTGAATTTTGTGCTAAAACTTACCCTACCAAGTATAGAATCCCTTTTTCCCTTTACTGTTGATAGACAAAAATAAATTCAATTAACAAAGGCAACAAACCAGTTTGAGCCATAACTTTTAGGAAAGATAAATTATTCTTTTGTCAAGGTATCTTAAAAGAAAAGACTGCAGAAGGAAACCTTTGACTTGTGTAAATCGTAAAATTGAGATAACATTCAATTAAACAGCTCCTCAGATATCTATGTAGGCTTACACATATGAGATCATTCTTCTCACAATACCAGGCAGACAATACAGCGATCCCGTACTATTTTTATGTCAGGAAAATCTTTAGCTCGTTAATCCAGAACATAGAAATGTCCTTGTATTGATTTGCTTCATGAACCTGGACAAACATTATATTTACATGTATCCTGATATGTATTTTTTGATAACCATGTAACCTGATATGTTTTGTTAATAGAAGAACAATGTGCCAGTAGATAGCTAGGAATGAGCTCCAGTCACTAATCTTCTGGAGTCCCAGAAGTCAAAAAACAGATTTACTGAAAGCCCAAAAACTCTTTACTGATCCTAGTTGCTTGGACTTTACGGTGTAAAGCTTAATACTCCCTTCGTCGGTTCGTCCCAATTTATACGGCACTAATTCAATTTTGGGATGTCACGAATCATTTGACATCATTCCACTTGCATACAATTTTCACAACTTCCAAGAATTCAAACTCGTTACTATTCGCATGTTGCATTTGATGTATTTTTTTCTCAATCAAACTAATCTTTTAACCATTATCTTAATCTTTCTTCTATTGTCCAGTCAAATACTGTCTACAAAATGGAATGGAAGGGCGCCCAAGGGTGCTGTGGCAGAACAACATGTAAGGAAGTGGGGATTGAATCCCCTTCACCCAAAAATTACACTGCAGCATGGGAAACATAATTTTTTGTGTATAAATATATAAATTTTTGAATCCTCATGAAGTAAAACAAAATGTGGCAAGTGGTTCAAAAATACTACATGTGGCATTTATACATTTTGTATAAATCCCCTTATAAGAATTTCTGGTTCCGCCAAGGGTGTGACTTAATGATCAATGATTATGAATGAATCTCAAGAGACCAGGGTTCAAATATTGGCCGAGGCAAAAAAGGTTAGGTGCTGGGATATCTAATCTATGTATAACTAGCCTATGGACAACAAAACCTCACATTGCAACGCCAATATTGAAACACCATGAATATTAACTGATTAACTGATAAAATGTTAGGTGATGAGATAACTAATAGCAGTATTAGCAATACTGTACAGGTATTATTATTCTTATAACAATCCTTGCATTATATCCCTTATATAACTAGCCTATGGACCAACCAAGCAGAGTTACCCTACCCCTTCATGGGAAAATTACACTCTGTATATAGGCCAAAATTCTGTGTTTTTAAATGTATATGCAATATATGTTGAATTATACATCAAAAATTTATAATATATGTTGAATTCCCTTAGACTTCTTCATGCGTTTACTTCATAGTTTGAATCCCTTAAGTGAAAATCACATTAAACACCAAGACAAAATTAACTGATAAAATGAAACATGCGTGCGGGACTTACAAATTGGAAAATGGGAAAGTAATCACAATAGAACACGACCCTTTTCAAATCCAAAGCGATGGCAGCATTCAAACCCTCAATAAGGGCCTTAAACTCAATGCACTGGCGATTCATCGCACTTCCATAAAAAGGCTTCCTCATTTCGAACAACAATTCATCTCTCGAATCGCATATGGCAACTCCAATCCCACCAAAAACCACCTTCGGTGAATAATTCTCCACCAAACCCTTGAAATAAACCCTAAAAACCTCCTTGTCCACATTTTCTGACGTGCCTTCCCCGAACGGACGCTCGAAATTATCGCCATCATTTTGCCACTCATCCTCCGGCATACGAAGTATCTCCTGAGCAACACGGTGATCGTGAATTCGCTGGTGAAGATCGTCGCGTAATTTTCGAAATTCCAATTCACTGAGCTTGCGATCGTCGATTTCTCGCTCGAGATTAAGGAGTTCTGATGACTGTACTTCAGCGAAAGAGGGATTTGGGTTGGGGTTGGAGGGGAGTGGAGTGGGGGTGGGTGTGGAGGTAGAGGTGGAGGGTTGAAGAGATAAGGAGGCGCTTATAGCTTCTTGGAGTTGGAGTTGAAAGGCGAAGTCCAAGTCGGAGTCCACGTCACGCGCCGCCATGAGTTCACGGCGTTGCTCGGCGGCGAGAGTTTTGAGGTCTTCAGTGTCTACGTCGAATGACATGTTGGAACAAGCAGTATTTGTGTTTTAGGAGTAGTAAAAATGGGTCCCTGCCACCCCTTTATAATAATTGGAATCTCAACGACTGGAGTACTTTCCCGCTATTAGAATGTCCCTGTAATCTATCCATATTTCCACAATCTCAAATTGAATATGCATAAAAAGTTACAACTCCCTCTTTTTCTCTTTCTTTTTACCATATATTTGTTATCTTTCGTGTCACCATCCGTAATTTCACCGTCGTAACCGTAATCGCTTAATATTTCACTTGCTAGGCAAGCTAATATAAGCTAGATTAATTATTTATTTTTACCAATTTAAAACAAAACATTGACAACAATAATAATAAAAGTCTGAAATAGAGTGATATAACACCGGACAACAAAAACTAAACATATCCCAAAACTTAGAGTCACGAATACACGAGCATCTAGAATACTATAAATAAATTTTAGACAAATAAGACTGTTTTGAAACAAAATAAACAGTAATTGGGGAAATAAATGGGGACTTCGGGGCTGCGGACGCCATGCAGCTACATCTCAAGTCTCCTCAAATAGCTAAGTCCGAGCAGTCTCACTACGCACTACTGAGATCAACTCTGGTGTCTGCACAAGAAGTGCAGAAGTGTAGCGTGAGTACAACCGACCCAATGTACTCCGTAAGTGTCGAGCCTAACCTCGACGAGATAGTGACGGTGCTATGACACCTACATCAAACCCTGCACAGACACACACACAAAAACAACAATCAAAAGGGGATATGCGAAAAGGGAAATATCATAAAAACAACGAGTAAGAAATCACCTAACAACATATTTCGAAATAAGCAACAATATAACCAAGTAAATCATCAATCCGAAATCAATTAAAGCAATGATATGAAAATGACACGACATCATCCTTCGTACTTTTAGTCTCGTCCTCACCATGTAATATCATAAAAAAATGGCGCGACATCACGCTTTGTGCTTTTGCACTCAAATCGCTCAATATATGATAATGAATGCAAATAAAGTACATCAACACCTTTATGCTTTTTTCTCTTCCTCACCAAGCAACAATACAAATTCGAATAATAAAACAAGTCGGGGAGATAATTTCTCTTCAATTATAGTGCCATGATATCAAACTCAACCTTCAAATATCCAACATATTTGAAATAAATAATAAATACGAAATGGATACTTAAAAGAAGTAATAACCTTACCTAAGCATGGAAAACTTAATCAATGGAACAATATATTACCAAGAAATAATTTCCACCCGCATGCTTTAACCTAATGATAACGCATAGATATTCGTCACCTCACATATATGTTGTCTCCAAACATAAAACACGTAGCAGATAGGCTAACAAGTACTAATCCCTCAAGTCAAGGTTAATCACGATACTTACCCCGCTTAGAACCAAATCAAAGCACAACCGCAACTTTCCCCCTAGAATTAGCCTTCAAACCAATCAAATCTAGCCAAATATAGTTGAAATAATTCAAAATAAATTTTAGAAACTACCAATGAGTGAAAAAGATTCATCTAATGAATTTGAAAAAAGTCAACAAAAGCCTGCTTAGTCAAAACCCAAGATTCGGACTAAAATCTAATTACTCATTCACCTCTGAACCCAATCATGTAATTAGTTTCAAAATTTGACCTCAATTTGAGGTATAAATCCCAATTTCTCAAAATTCCCAATTTCTACCTAAATCCCTAATTTCTACTATGAAAAAACATCGATTAAAGGTTAAAAACTAGTGGGCGTTTATGAAAATATAAGGAAACAAGTTAAAATCTACTAACCAATGAAGTGGAGATAAAAAAAACTCTTCAAAATCGCCTCTAGGCCAATCTCAAACTTGAAAATGGTGAAAAACGAGAAGAATCTCGATTTTTAGAAGGTTTAAATCACTGGTGCCAAGTGTTATTTGCGTTCGCGAGATACTCTTTGCGTTAGAAATGGCCTCACCCCTGGTCCTTCGCATTAACAAGCCTGGGCTCGCGTTCATGTAGAGTACAGAACCGCCTCCCCCCAGAATCCCATATCCCTTCGCGTTCGCGTGAGTATGATCGTGTCCGCGAAGGGTAATCCCGCTACTGTTTCGCGTTCGTGACCATGTTCCCGCGTTTGCGATGAAGAAACTCGCCCCTAGTCGCGAGAGTAGCTTCGCGATCACGAAGCACAATGCACCAGACATCAACAATTAGCTGAAATCAGCAATTTTTCAAGTTCAAAATGGTCTGTAGCCTATCCGAAACTCAGCCGAGCCCCTCGGGCTCCAAACTATACATACATACAAGTGTAATAACATCAAACGAACTTGTTCGCGTGATCAAAATATAAAAATAAAACCAAGAACTACGAATCAGATATCAAAATGCATGAAATTTGTAAAGAAACTCAAGAATTTCCAAATTCACAACTGAGCGTCTGAATCCTATCAAATCAAATCCGTTCTGCACCAAAATTTACAGCTAAGTTTCAAATAGTAAAATGAACCTATACCAAGTCTCGAAATCAAAACTGAACCCGATAGACATAAATTCAACCTACGGTCATATCTAGGAAATCTTTAAACCTTCAAGTTACTAGTTTTCGGCAAAACACTTCAAATCAAGTTCAGGACTTCCGAATTCAATTCCGAGAATACGTCCAAGTTCAAAATCACGATACGGACCCACAAGGATCGTCAAAATACCAATTCGGGGTTGTTTACACAAAATCTTGACCATAGTCAACTTAATTCATTTTTAAAGCCAAAAATCATAGTTTTCTTCAAATTTTCACATAAAATCATTTCGAAAAATGGACACGAACTACACACGCAAATTGAGAAATATAAAATGAAGCTACTAAAGGTCTCGGAACACTGAAATAAAGGATAGTATTCAAAATGACCTATCGGGTCATCATATTCTCCATCTCTAAAACAAACGTTCGTCCTCGAACGGACATAGAAAGGTACTTGGACTGGTGAAAAGGTGCAGGTTTCTACTCCGCATGTCGGATTCGAAATCATACGTGGCTGTCTCGATCGGCTGACCTTTCCACTACACTTGAACAGATGAATAATTCTTAAACCTCAACTTCTGGACCTGCTGGGCTAGAATAACCACCGTCTCCTCCTCATAAGCCAAATCCTTGTCCAATTGGACTGAGCTAAAATCTAGTACATGGGACGGATCGACGTGATACTTCTGGAGTATGGAGATATGGAACAACATGTGAATTGCTAATAAGCTAGGTGGCAATGCAAATCTGTAGGCCACCTCACCAACTCTCTCAAGGATCTCAAAAGGACCAATATACCTAAGGCTCAACTTGCCCTTCTTCCCGAACCTCATCACACCCTTCATGGGTGATTACCTGAAGCAAAATCCGTTGCTACATCACAGGCCTTCCGATCAGTGTAGCTCTTCTGCCTAGACTGGGCTGGATGAAGCCTATCCTAAATCAACTTGACTTTCTCTAAGGCATCCTGAACCAAATCTGTGCCTGAAAAACCTAGCTTCTCCTGGCTCAAACCAACCAACCGGAAGGAGCTATCTGAATACTCGATTGGTAGCTGTTTTTGTAGGCAAGCTCCGTAAGAATCATAAACTGATCCCAACCCCCGCAAAATCCAAACACAGACACGTAGCATGTCATCTAATATACAAATGGTGCGCTCGAACTGCCCATCTGTCTGAGGGTGAAATGTTATATTCAACTCAACTTGCATACCTAACTCCCGTTGCATAGCTCTCTCGAAATGTGATGTGAACTGAGTGCCTCGATCAGAGATAATAGACATCGGCACACCGTAAAGACAAACAATCTCTCAAATATAGATCTGAGCTAGCCGATTTGAAGAATAGGTAGCCGCCACCGGAATAAAATGCACTGACTTAGTTAGCCTATCCACAATGACCTATACTACGTCGAACTTCTTCAAAGTCTGTGGAAGCCCAACAATGGGAATCTCAAGCCTCCAAAGCAAATCGCCAGGTCTCTGATGTTCATATTTCACTTGTTGGAAATCCAAACACCGAGCCACATTCTCAACTATATCTTTCTTCATTATTCTACACCAATAATATTGCCTCAAATCCTGGTACATCTTGAAGGCACCCGGATGAATAGAATATCGCGAACTGTGGGCCTCCTCAAGAATCAACTCATGAAGCCTATCCATATTGGGCACACAAATTTGGCCCTACATCCGCAACACCCCATCATCCCCAATAGAAACCTCCTTAGCATCACCATGATGCATCGTGTCCTTAAGTACAAGCAAATGGGAGTCGTCATACTGATGCTCTTTGATGCGCTCATATAAAGAAGACTGAAAAACCACGCAAGCAAGAACCTGACTGGACTCCGAAACATCTAACCTCATAAACTGATTAGCCAAAACATGAATATCTAATGCAAGCGGTCTCTCCCTAACTGGATATGCAAGGCTACCCATACTCACAACCTTTTCTACTCAAGGCATCGGCCACCATATTGGCCTTCCCGGGATAATACAAAATGGTAATATCATAGTCTTTTAACCTCTCTAACCACCTCCACTACCTCAAGTTAAGATCCTTTTGCTTGAACAAATACTGTAGACTCCGATGATCTATGGATACCTTGCACAACACACCGTAGAGGTAATACCTCCAAATCTTCAATGCATGAACAATATTTGCCAACTCCAAGTCATGAATGTGGTAGTTTTTCTCATGGGGCTTAAACTGACGTGAAACATAAGCGATCACTCAACTCTCCTGCATCAAGAAATACCTGATCCCAATCCATGAAGCATAGTAATAAACTGCATATGAACCCGATGCTGATAGCAAAGCTAGAACTGGAGCTGTAGTCAAAGCGGTCTTGGGCTTCTGAAAGCTCAACTCACACTCATCAGGCCACCTGAATGGGGCACCCTTCTAGGTCAATCTAGTCAGTGGGGCTACAATAGATGAAAACCTCTCCATGAACCGGCGATAATAACCCACCAAACCTAGGAATCCGAGTCTCTATAGCTGAAATAGGTCTAGGTCAGTTTTGAACTGGCTCAATATTCTTAGGATCCACTTTAATGCCATCG